TGTCCGATGCAGGGCAGGCCAGCAAGGATCTTCTGAAAGCAGAGCAGCGCCTGAGGGGCCCTCGGCCGTCTCGGGACGGAGCTCCTGGATGGTGCTTTGCTCGCTGCTGTGTTCAGGGCCAAAGCGGCCCGTCCCTGCGGCTGCTGGGAGCAGAGGGTGCCGGCACGGCTGCCCGGACAGCCTGCCCTTGCGGCTGCGGGTTTCTGGGGGTTGTAGGTACCAGCTGGGAGAGCGTTCGGCCTCAGAGCAGCAGAGGTGGCTGAAAGATGCCTCGCTGGGGCTCCTGCCCTGGGAGAGGACGCGTGACGGCTGCACGCCTGAAAAGAAACTGTCCTTGCCGTGCCAGGAGAACCCGTACCCCGCGGTGACCATGCACAAGGTGCAGAAGCCCACGGAAGGCTGTCACCTGCGCCTCCACCAGAAGCCTTTTCCCCGTTTGGATGAGGGCACGGTGCAGTGGATCATCGACCAGGCCACGGCCAAGCTGCAGACAGCTCCTCCTGCCGTGAAGGCAGAGAAGAAATGCATGGTGCCGTCGGGACCCCCCATAGGTACGTGTGCCTTTCCCTGCGGTGGGAAACCCTGCTCAGGAGGGGCTTTACCGTGGCGGAGCTGCCGCCTTTCACACTGCAGCACGTCCGAGGGTCCCACGTGAGCAGGACAGGGGTAGGGCTGCTGTCCCCGTTCACTTCTGCCCCTCGGGCTGCTTAGAGCTCGCTGGAGTCCATCAGCCGGCACGGGGGGACAGCTGAGCACCCCGTAGCCTTCTTCCATCGTGAGCTCTTGGAGCCTAGAGCCCTGCCTGCCCACACCGAGCAGGGGAGGGGGCACCCACCTCTCCCCACCCAGGGGTGAAAGCCCTGGCCGGATGGAACAAACAGGCGATTCTCTCCCCAGCTGCCATCATGGAGCGCAACGGCAATGCCCTGGCCAACAGCGCCCGCCGCCTGGAGGTGGTCAGGAACTGCATCTCCTATGTCTTTGAGAACAAGATGTTAGAAGCCAAAAAGGTGAGAGCAGCTGTGAGGAGCCGGTGGTTGAGGGGAGGAGGGGATGGCTCTGCCTCTCCTCGGTGGCAGGCGGGCGAGGACGTTCCGTGCCCGTGTCTGGGGCTTTGCTGACCAGCTCTGTTCCCGTGTGTTCACGAGTTCTCTCAGCGCTGTTCCTCCCCGCTGTGTCCCTGGGCTTTCGGCTGATCACTGCGCTGCGTCAGCTTAGTGCTATTTCTGCATCTCCCAGTGCCCCCCGGGGTCTGTCCCGTGGAGATGACCAGGCTGGGGTCCTCCCCCACCCTGCTGAGCAGGGACCTCCCCAGGGCTGCGCTCCAGCCGGCCAGACGTGGGATTTTGCTCTGGTTTGCCTCCACATGGGAGCGCGGATGAGCTGTCCATAACCACCCTGGTGCCAGCCTGCACCTCCTCGTCGTGGGCTGCCCTTGAACTCGCCGTCTGCCCAGAGCTCTACTGGGGCCCGTCTTCCTACTCCGAGACTCCTTCTCTCCTCTGCAGCTATTCCCTGCCGTGCTGCGTGCCATGAAGGGCCGAGCAGCCAGGCACTGCCTGACCCAGGAGCTGAACCTGCACGTGCAGCAGAACCGGGCGGTGCTGGACCACCAGCAGTTTGATTTCATAATCCGCATGATGAACTGCTGTTTGCAGGTAGGAGAGGGCGGGGGAGCGCCAGTCTCTTGGGAAGGAGCTTCTCTCCCCCTGGGGGAGACAGCGTGGTGCAGGGATCGGGGTGGGTCTGGGGGTCTTGCAGCAAATCCTCTGGTAGCCTCCGCTCTCCTCCCCAGGACTGCACTGCCATGGACGAGCATGGGATTGCGGCCGCTCTCTTGCCACTGGTCACCGCTTTCTGCCGAGTGAGTATCTGCCGCATCCTGACCCCCTGTGCAGCCCCCGCAGGCTCAGAGCGCCTCGGAGGCCACAGGGGCTGGCAGGCTGAGGGACTCAGAGCCCACCTTGCAGCCCGGCTGAGGGCACGTTGTCCCCTCGGGGCCTCTCAGGGCAGAGGGTCCTGGTCAGCAGCTTCCCACGGCTCGCGAGGTCGGCCAGCCTGGCTGCACCAGTCTCTGGGCCCACGGCTCCCAGGATGGCTGGAAGACCTGTGGGAAGGGTGCTCAGAAACCCTGGCTGCTCTGAAGTGCCAGCTTGATCTGTTGTAAAATTCTGCCTCCCATAAAGCATCTGTAGCATGAGGCGCCACGGGGCTCTGGGTGGGCGCTGGGCAAATCTGAGAAGAGTTGGCAAGGAATGCTCGGAGGAGCTGTGGTGCCGGTGTCCTTCCCGCCAGCCCAGGGCTACGTGGTCTTTCCCGGCAACAGGCTAGAGCAAGGATTCCCTGGAGAGGAGAGCTTGGCACAAAGGCTGTGTTTGTATTGAACTCTCTTCCACCTTCTGCTTCCTCAGAAGCTGAGCCCGGGCATCACGCAGTTTGCCTACAGCTGCGTGCAGGAGCACGTGGTGTGGACCAACATCCAGTTCTGGGAGGCCATGTTCTACTGCGATGTGCAGAACCACATCCGAGCCCTGTACCTGGACAACAACGAGGAGAACCACGCGGATGAGGTGAGGAGGTGACAGCGGTGCCAGTGTCCCTGGAGAGCCACTCCCCGAGGGTCCGTGGGCTGATCAGGGTGCTGAACCAGCCCGAGGGACAGCATCCTGGCTCTGGGAGGTTCCCATGGGAACAGTGGGGTGAAGGCTGGCGGGTCTCCTGCCCATGCAGACAACAGGCATCTCCTTCCAACTCCTTCAGGAGAGCACGGAGGGGCCCCAGGAAGCCAAGTCTGCCCTGGAGATCGCATCGGAGCAGCTGAGGCTCTGGCCCACCATGAGCCGAGAGAAACAGCAGGAGCTGATCCAGAAGGAGGAGAGCACTGTTTTCAGCCAGGCCATCCACTACGCCAACCGCATGAGCTACCTGCTGCTGCCTCTCGACACCAGCAAGAGCCGCCTGCTGCGCAGCTCCGGGCTGGGGGACGTGGAGAGTGTCAGCAACAGCTTCGTCACCAACAGGTACGCAGGGCTGGGACGCTTGGCAGGGCCATGCTGCAGGGACACCAGAGCAACCGGAACCAGGGATGGGAGCTCCTCCGTGCGGTACCTGGGGCATCCAGACCATTCGGCTGCTGTCAGGATTGATGCGGGTCGCAGTGCCCGGGAGTGGGTCAGATCATTCACCCCCAGCCAGTTTGCAGATGTCACCGAGCTGGGGGGGAGTGTGGATCTGCTGGGGGAGAGGGGGGCTCTGCAGGGGGACCTGGCCAGGCTGGAGCCATGGGCCCAGCCCAGTTGGGTGAGGGTCACCAAGGCCAAGGGCCGGGTCCTGCCCTGGGGTCACCACAACCCCAGGCAGCGCTCCAGGCGTGGGGCAGAGGGGCTGGAAAGCTGCCCGGCGGAAAAGGCCCTGGGGGGGTTGGTGGAGAGGGGGCTGGAGAGGAGGCAGCAGGGTGCCCAGGTGGCCAAGGGGGCCAGCGGCATCCTGGCTTGTCTGAGGAGTGGTGTGGCCAGCAGGAGCAGGGCAGGGAGCGTGCCCCTGTGCTGGGCACTGGGGGGGGCGCCCCCCGGGTGCTGGG